TCTTCTCCTGAAATGTTCTCCCTGGCCAGTTTCTATCATCTTCCAGTTTCCTTAGAATTTTTTGAACTTTTGGGGTATTAGGTATCAGTCACTTTAAAAGACTTTTTTTTCCTTTAAAATCAGCTTTATTGCTGGGTATGGTGGTACACATCTGTAATCCCAGTTACTGGGGAGGCTGAGGTAGGAGGATTGCAAGTCTGAGGCCAGCCTGGGCAACTTACTGAGACCCTGTCATGTGTTTTTTTGTTGTTGTTGTTGTTTGTTTTTTTTGTGGTACTGGGGATCGAACTCATGATCTTGCACTTACCAGGCAGGCGCTTATACCACTGAGCTATATCCCCAGCCCCTGAGACCCTATCTTAAGAAAATAAAAAGAGCTGAGGATGTAGTTCATATTCCCTGGGTTCAATCTCCATTACTGCAAAAATTGAACCAAAATAAACAATATTGATGTATAATTTATGCACAACAAAATCCACCCATTTTAAGGATATGATTTGTTGGATTTTGACAAGTATAGCTGTATGATATGCACTACAAGGAAAGTATGGACATGCCCACCACCCCCCAGAAGTTTCTTGTGCCTCTCTGAAGGAAATCCTCAGCCCCTACTCATGGCCCCAGAAAACCACTGATTTGTTTTCTGCCATCATAGATTAACTGCCTATTCTAGGGTTTTATGTAATTGGATTCAAACAGTACACACCCCATTCATCTCTTATCCAGCCCAGTGATTTGTGATCCAGCCTTGTTGCACTGCATATCGATAGTTCATTTCTTTATTTTGTTCAGTAGGAATAAAAGGCCTCACCTCCACCCCACTTTTGCAGTATTGGGGATTGAACTCAGGGTCTTTGCACTGAGATTTATATCTAACTCTTATTTTATGTTGAGACAAGGGGGCTGGTGATATAGTTCAGCGGCACAGCACCTGCCCGCCAAGCACAAGGTCCTGAGTTCGATTCCTGGTACAAAAAAAAACCAAAAACATATTTTGAGACAGAGTCTTGCTAAATCTCTAAACTCCCCAGGCTGGGCTTGCATATGCAATGCTTCTGTCTGAGTCTCACAGAGTTTTGGGACTATAAGCATGCGTACCTGCGTGCTCAGTTTAATAGATTTTTCTTTTAATACTAAATACCCCTGGGAGGCACAAGAGGTAATTCTGTCAGTCCTTTAACACTTTAGTATGAATGAGTTTTTTTGGCGACTGAGCCACATATACAGGAGTATCTGGGCCTGACTAAGGTACGATGAAAAAGGTGATTTTTAGCAGCTCCAATGCTTGTCTTTGGTGTACAGACTCCGAAAGCTACCTTCCTGCCTTCAGTGCCAGAAATCAAGAGTGAGCAAGTGAACATTCCTGAAGCTGTCCATGTGCTGGATGAAATTCACTGCAACCTTGTGAACCGAGCAGTGTGAATGTCCCTGTGTCTGAGGAGGGAACTGACCACTGGTTGAACTGTAAAGGAGAATCCCAGCCAGCTTTTCCAAACTCCAAGGCTGACGTTCTTTGCAGTATATGGCAAAAAGGGCTTTGAAGCAGCCCAGACTGGGAGAACAGGCTGGTTCGTGGGGCCTGACCAAGAACATGGCTGAGGTGAGAGTGGCCCCGGGCGTGTTGTGATGTTCGGACGCCACAGGACTTCCTGGGGGCCGAGAGGGACAGGGAAGTCTGAGCAGATCTGTCGGGCACTGTACTTTGAGAAGTGGGAAGCGGACAGTCCTGCAGCTGCACTGGGGTTCACAGCACAGAACCCCTCTGAGCACATTATGGGGTTCCCAAACCCAGGGGGGCGTTACAAGTGGCATCTCTTTGCTTTCAGCCCGCAGCCTTCAGTTCATAACTTTCCTTGGAATTGAGACCCTGGGAATGAGCACAGTCTTTCCAAGTCAGCCCCAGAAAAGGCGGGGAAGTCAGGGCTGTAACCAGAGCATTTTTTAAATAGCCTGATAAGAGCCGCTGGAGCAAGGCAGAGTTGGTGGCCGGCCAGCTGCTGAGCTGACCGCAGGGCCGGCTCCCTGCAGACTGCATTCCCGAGCTTCGAGTGTCATCTCTCCGCGCCCTCCGCCCCTCTCCCTTCTGCCTGGGGCCACTTGGAGGTGAAGCCCTGGAGACTCCTGCTGGGCGAGGTGGGCTCTGCGGACCACTTCCCATTGCCTGCTTAGCTTGGCATGGATGCAAACACGGTCCACGTTTTGGAGGTGCGGATATTGGCTTGGTAAGATTGCCACCAAAACAAAGTATGGTGTGACAACTTGAAAGGCTAAAAACCACAGGAACTCACTCCCTCGAGAGTTGTGGAGGCTGCCAGTCTGCGGGCAAGGTGTGTGCAAGCTGTCCTTCTGCACCTCTGTAGTCTCCTCCCTTCTAGGGGTTGTCCCAGTTCTTGGTGTCTCTTGGTTTGTGGCTGCAAAATTCTAGTTTCTGTCTGCCCACGGCCTTCTTCTCTGTATGCGTGCCTCCTCTGTGTTTGTGTGTCTTTTCTTTTGTTGTTTTAGAGAGAGAGTCTCGCTACATATGTAGCTCAGGCTGTGCTCAAACTCATGGCCCTCCTGCCTCAGCTTCTAGAGTCCTGGGATTACACCGTTGTGGTACCATACCCTGTTCAGTGTCTTCTTACTGAAAAATGTCTGCTATTTTAAAGAATTAATTGGATAATGAATTTATTTATCTAGATGGGGTCTCACAGTGTTGTCCAGGCTGGCCTCAGTCTCTGAGCCCTAAGTGATCCTCTTTAGCCTCCTGAGTATGTGGATACGGTTGTGGGGCTCTGCACCCTGCTCAAGACCCCAGTGACTGAATTTAGGTCGTTAGAGTGGCTCAACACCTTGCACATCACGTCATGATGGTCCCCTGGCCTTCAATGCCAGTCTGTCTCTAAGGTGAACCCCAAACTGAAGCTGGCCACAGTCTACTCATCCACCTTCACCTCCCACTGCTTACACTCGGTGCTCATACTTTATCAATGCCCATGGCTGTTCTCTGCCTCAGGGCCTTTGCACATCTGCTCCTTCTGCCTGGAAGGCCCTTCCTGTTCCTTGCCACATTTCCCTTCTCCACCTCAAAAACTCTCGCTCATCCTTTAGGCCTCCCTTTTTGGTGGGGTCTTCCCTGAACACCATGAAAACTCTAGACTGTGGCCTTTTGTGCCTTGCTGTGGTCCTTGTGAGTCTTTTGGTGTCATGTCTAACACAATACACTGGCTTTAGCTTGATTGCTCTCTGTCTCCCCACCTGAGCTCCTTAAGGGCGACTTCTTTTGATTCCCTGCACAAGTCCACAGAGGCTCATCTATAGCTGCTGAATGACCAAATGAACATAAAAATTCCCTGCAGAGCATGGACAGTGAATGGGGTCCTTCTCATGCTTCTCTGACATTCCCTGCAATGCTTGGTTCGAGGTTGGCTCTCAAATGCTTCCTGCATTGTTTAGTGATTGAAGGCAAGAACCTGCGTTAGTGGGAATGTGACAGGAGTCATGCCTCACCACAATAGCACTTCCCGAAGAGGAAGGACCTGAAGAAATGTAATTCCCCTGTGCTTTCCTCCTGTCAACTCAAGAGCTTTTAAAATGAGAGTTAATTAAGGTCAGGGAGGGGACGGGTGGCACCTTCCATCTTGCTAGTGAAGAAGTAAAGAGAGAGGCTGGGTGTGATGGCACATGCCTGTAATCCCAGCTACTCAGGAAGCTGAGGCAGGAGGATTGCAAGTTTAAGGCCAGCCTGGCAATTTAGTGAGAGACTGTCACTCAGAATGGGATAGAATATAATAGAAGAATAGAATAGAATAGAATAGAATAGAATAGAATAGAATAGAATAGAATAGAACAGAACAGAATAGAACAGAATAGAATAGAAAGAATAGAATAGAAGGGGCTGGAGATGTAGCTCAGTGGTAGAGCACTTGCCTAGCATATGCAAGACTGAGTTTAATCCCCAGGAATAGGAAGAGAGACAGAGACAGAGACAGAGACAGAGACAGAAAAAGAGAGAGAAAGAGAGACAGAGAGAGAGAGACAGAGAGAGAGAGAGAGAGAGAGAGAGACAGAGACAGAGACAGAGACAGAGACAGAGACAGGAGAGAAAGGACATAGGCCTGAGGTTCTGTGGCCTGGGATCCGAGGTGTCTTTGGTGAATGAATCAGGTTGGCTCCAGTGTGGTGGTACTGGGAGAAGGTGGGGAGGCAGGAATAAAGATTCTACTAGGGAGTAAGCGCAGCAGGCTCAGGATGGAGTCTGCTGAGTCACGACCCCTCCCCCACCTGGATCTCACAGAACTGTCTGCCGGGTGTCCTTTGGCTGTCAGGGGACTCCCCAGAACATGGTCAGGCACATGGACCCAGCATGGGCACTGCAAGGACACTTCATAGACTGGACCTTGAGGAATATGTAGTCTCCAGTAGGGTAGAGGTTATATTCTTACACAATGGCCCGAGCCCCTGCCTTCCAAACTCTCTAAAAACTCCTAGACCAAGAACCTTCTTGGATATCCTACTCATGACCCCCTCCCGGCTAGCGGGAGCTCTACTCCCTTGCCTTTATATCTTTTACGTTTTTGCCTTTATGTGTTTTACATACATATGCTTGTACCCTTACCTCCTCCATCCACAGTTTCATTCTTTGTCACCATGGGACATGACTCCTGACATTCCAGTCTCAGTGGGACACTGCCAAACCGTCTGAGTTCCTGTGATCAAGGGGGCATCACGGTGGTGATGGGTAGTGGTGGTGGAGATCAGTAAGGGAGGTGACATCAGACTGGGTGCTGGGTTACCCAGACAAAGGCAGAGCCAGGCCCATCCCTATGGAACATAAGACCCCTTGTTGGACTTGTGGCAGAAGGAGGGGCTTCTCTGCACTCTGGCCAGCCTCTCTTTTTGGGAGAACAAGGTACTTTTATCATGGGGCCCTGTTTCCTCATTTCCAGCCAGATGACCTTTCCTTCTGGTTGGTCAACAATGCTACCTGTCACCAGGTAATACACAAGGAGGATAACAAGAATCAGGTAAAATCTGGGTTTCTGGCCTTTCTTTTTATTATTTTTTCCATTCATTTCCAAGGGCCCTGAATTCACCAGCATTTTGTTTCTATAATCAAATACCTGACATAGGCTAACTTTATTATGGGGAGCAACTGAAACTGAAGATTGATCACACGTGCAGGGCTAGAGCAAGGCCAGCCCCGAGAACACGGAGTGCCCAAGGAGAGCCTTGTGAACAAGTTGGTCCAGCCCTGAGAACACAAAGTGCCCCGGGAGAACCAGGTGAACAAATTGTTAGGCAGAGGGGTTTCCACCTGACATCAACCTGCCACATGTATAAATAAACTGGAACCAGCTTCTTTTCTCCAAGAGAGAGGGCTGCACCTGACCTCAGCTTTCTGCATTTCCGCTCTTGCCTTCATTTCTTCATGGTCCTCCTCCTGGGAGTTTTCAAGAGCTGTGCTGGACGTGGCACTTTACAAAGAAAAGAGGTTATTTAGCTCACAGTTCTGGAGGCGAGGCATCCATACAGCACAGGCAGGCTCTTACGAGGGCCTCACGCTCTCAGCTGCTTCACTTCATGGGGGATGGCAGTGGTGATCACATCTTGAATGAGGAAGCAGGAGAGAGAAGGAAGGGCCAGGGTTGCTTCTTTGATAACAACCCTTTTCTAGAAACTGCTGAGGGGTGCAGGAAAACCATCTTAATCTTCCCAAGGCAGGAGCCTCAGTAAATTCCCAGTGGACCCCATCCCTTCAAGGTCCCACCATTTCCCAACACCTTGTGGGGGCCTGGCTTCTAACACATGGAGCTTCAGGAGCCACATTCAAACCATAGCAGACCCTCCACGCCATTTTAACAGGACAAGAGGCTGGGGAAATGAAGGAGGCCATGCCCTCTCCCCTCAAGGGCATCTTGTTTGTTTGTTTGTTTGTTTGTTTGTTTTTGGTCTTTCTGAGATGGTCTCGCTATGCAGTTGAGGCTGGCCCTGAGCTCACTTTGTAGCCCAGGCTGGTCTCCAACTCACAATGATCCTCCTGCCTCAGCCTCCCGAGTGCTGGGGTTACAGGGGTGCACCACCATGCCCAAGGGCATCTTGATATCACTCCACTATTCCTTCTCCCAGCTCCACCTTGCCTCCCAATCAGCCACCCTCATGAACTCATGTGCAGGGCTTGGGCTAAGAGCAGCAAGCAAGAGGCCCTGGGCTCAGTTTGTTGTTGTTGTTTTTGTTGTTTTTTTTTGACACAGGGTCTCACTGTATAGCCCAGGCTGGCCTTGAACTCATGGTGATCCTCCTGCCTCAGCCTTTCTCCCTAGTGCTGGGATTACAGGTGTGTGCCACTACACCCAGCAATAGGACTCATTTTTTTGTTTGTTTGTTTGTTTGTTTTTGTCTTTTTGAGACAGGGTCTCACTATGCAGTTCAGGCCAGCCTTGAGCTCACTTTGTAGTCCAGGCTGGTCTCAAACTCGCAATGATCCTCCTGTCTCAGCCTCCCGAGTGCTGGGATTACAGGCGTGCGCCACCACGCCCGGTCTTAGGGCCCAGTTTTAAGGAGGCACCCATTCCACTCCCAGGGCTGTGTGGCACCCACTTGAGCTCTGTGTGCTGGGCTGGGGTATTCATAAAGGGATAGGAAGAGAGAAGGAGGCTCGAAGAAGCGCAGGGGAGAGCATACTAAGAGAGCAAGGTAGATATCCAAAGTGAAGGGCAAAGTGAAGCATAATGACCAAAGGTGGTGGTTTCGGAGTGATCATCCCACACCGGCCCTCTGTCTCACACCCCTGCCCTCCCGGACCAGACAGCCAGATACCACCCAGACAGTGATGATCAACTGGGAAAATAAAACATGCTCACCATGCTCTCACCGGTTTTCCCGAATTTCTTGTCCTGAGGAGAAGCGCGGGAGATGAAGAGATCCCTGAAGTCATGTTCTCTCTGTTTCCTCCTTGATTTGACATCTTTTGTGTGATGTATGAACCTCGCCCCACACGTGGTGACTCACATCCTAAAAGGCCAGAGCTAGGCGCCCTCCAGGACAACGATCACTGCACTGTCCAGTGTGGCAGGCGCTAGGCACACAGGGCTTCTGCGCACTTGACATTCAGCTGGTCCAAACTGACCTGGGCTGTAGGTATGAAATAATCACTGGGTTTTTGAGGGCATGGTTTCATGAAATAATGCAAAACAATTCCATACTATATAAAAATATTGATTACACATTGAAATGATCGTGTTACGGCTTGTGTCTAGATGTCCCCCTAAAGCCTCACGCAGTCCTAGGTGGGACTTTTTCAGAGGTGGCTGGATCTAGAGTTTGTGACCCTGGAATTGATTCATGGTGCAATGCTACACTCAAGGGTGCTAAGGTTAAAAGTGTAAGTGCTATCTGCCCTAAATAGCCTGGGTAGGATATAAGGGATAGAAAGAGCTATGTTCGCCCCTTGCTTGCTTTGCTATCTTCTGCCCAACATGAACTGTTTCTCCTCTCTGATGCCTGTCTGCCAAGCCACCTTGCCTTAGACCCAGCCAGTGATGGACTAAAACCTCTACAAACTGTGAGCTAAATAAACGTTTCCTCCCTTAACTTGTGGGTGTTGGGTATTTTGTTTCAGCAGTGAGAAAAGTAACTAACAGGGATCTTTTGGGTTAAATGAAATACATGATTATAATAAACTAGGTGTGGTGGCACAAGCCTGTAATTCCAGCAGTCTGGGGAGCTGAGGCAGGAGAATCATAAATTTAAGCCCAGCCTGAGTAACTTAGGGAATTAATGAGACCCTGTCTCAAAATTAAAAATAAAATAATAAAAAAAAAAAGGGCTGGGGGTACAGTTCTGTAGGAACTATGTCCTGGTTTAATCCTCAGTACTGCCAAACTGCCCTCGCTCCCCCATTGAGCACAGAGCCTTTCCAAAGTCACTAAATTGCCCAGGCTAGGCTCCAACTTTCTATCTTCCTGCCTTAGCTCCCCAGAGTGTTGATATTACAGGCCTGCGCCATCACACCCAGCTTGTTCCTATTTCTTTTAATGTGGTTGCTAGAAAATGTAACATTGCGTACGTGGCTTGCATTTGTGGCTTGATTATAGCTCTTGTGTGCGGTGGTGGTCTAGTTCAACCTCCTCCTTTAACAGATGAGAACGCTGAGGTCCAGAGCACAACCCAAAGCTCTGTTGTTTTGCTGTAACCCCTCCCTACTCATATACCCTAGGGATCCCTGGAGTGGAGCAGGTGGGCTTGGAGCTCCCTGGCCTGCAGGCCTCAAGGGAAATGTTCAAGGCTCAAGGTATTGGCTATGGTTTCTTCGCAGTGAAATAAAAACCTAGCATAGGTGGAGACACGGTCTCCAGAGTCACACTGCTTTGTTTTGGTTCTGGAGATTGAACCCAGGGCCTTGCGCATGCGTGAGGCTTCACGGTTCAAAAGCGCTTTAGACTCGGGGAGAGATTTGTGTAGCCCTAGACCTTTCTTCCTTAATTATGGTGCAGAGAAGCAGGGTAGTGGACTAGGTACGCTGATCACCCCCTTAAAGTCACCGGTTCCCCTCCTTCCCACAAGGCAGTAGGGTAAAACCTACCCGGGGCCTGACACCTTGGAACAGCTATTCCAGGATTGTTTGACAAATAAACAAAAGCAAGTTTTAGAGAATTGGTTTGATAACCAAAGAGGAGTGGGCCGCGCACACAGGAAGGGGGAACCAGACACCAGAGCTACATTCCTTTATTTCATAATTTTATCTGGCGCCCCGTTCCCATCGGCGTGCATTGTCAAGCCTTAGAAGAAATAGGAGCGCAGAGGGAGAGACTGGTTGGTTATCTGACCGCATTTGGGACAAGTGGCCTTGCTGAGATAACTCTGGAGCAGGCCGGCAACTCTCCCTCCGCTTTTACCTGGCTTTGGCTGGGGAGCAGGTGGTCACCTCCGTTATTTCCCCACCCGGCACCGGGACCAATGGACAGAAAGGCCAAGGAAGGGGAAAGCGGAGAGGGCCCGACCTGGCCTGTCCCGTGGAGATCGGCAAAGCAGCTGCTAGGATCCAGCTGGCTCTGTCTTGCTGTCGGGACTGACGGGAGTGCCCGTGGGCAGCGAGGGCGTGGCTTCGCCGGCAGGTGACAGCCTGCAGGCCCGAAAGGAGCGGGTCGGCTTGGCCCCTGCCCACCCGGAGCTCTGGACCGGCTCTGGAGTGACTGTGCTTCTGACGTCAGGGGTTTTGGTTCATTCCCTGGCACGGCGACTTTATTTTCATAACATCACGAAGTGCCTGGAACTGGAATAGGCGTGTCCTCTGCCCGACCCTCCCCCGCCCCTTGGCCCTGCGCTCACCGGCTCACTCCCTCGCTCCCTCCCCCGGCCCCCGGCCGCCTTTATAACTGCACTGCGCGGCGCGGGCCGGATCCGAGGTGGCTGGATCTGGAGTGTGTGACGCCTCCCCAGGACTCCCCTCTACGCGCGGGAGGCAGCGCCAAGTTCACCGCGAAAGCCAAAAGCCTGGGCACAAGGGTAAGTGGGACGAGAGGACTCCAGCTCGCCGGGCCTCCAGACTGGATCCTTGCGGGACAGTGGCTCTCGGGACGGTCGGGTAGGAAAGGCAGAAATCCGGGTCACAGAGCAGGCTACGGGAACGACATAAGCACACAAGCCCAGTTCCTCTAGCTTAACTCAAGTCAGAATTTGTTTTCTGGGCTTCCCAGGCTAAAATCCAGGTAAAGAGATCACCAAGGTTAGAGTTTCTGCTCACATCCATCCTGCGAACTCGGAGTAGGTGCAGTCTGGCTGGGCGGGAGGAGATTAGTTCTGTGTCTCTGGGGGAAGAGGAGAAAGGGAGAAAGATCCTAGAGGAGGGGAAGAAGGGATTGGACGAGGAGAGGGGCTGGGAACAGCGGTGGGGGGGGGGGACAGGTGGAAGGAGTGAGGTGACAGCCGCTGTACCAAGAGGGAAACGTTTCCCTTTATTTTGTTCCTTGGCTACAAGCACGCCCTTCTGAATTTTGAGGAACAGACCTAGACGCCACTGCTTTGCTCTGTAAGCGGGGTGGTGAGTGCCCCCGTGTTCCCTCTGGGAAGCAAGAAGCTGTCACACCCACTTCTCCCTCCCTCTGCTCCCCCGGTCCCTTGTGTGCTCAGGAGCTGGAGCAGATAGACGCTGGACGTGCAGTAACATCCCACCTTTCACCAGCAGCGAGGAAGTACTTGGGAATGGCCTCAATGCCCAAGATGGCCCCTTCAGTGCCCTTGGGAAGGGCCAGCCAACAGCCGGAGTCTTGCTGTGGGTCAAGGAATTGGAGGGCCTTTCCTGACCTCATTCTTGGCTTCTGGCAGGCCGGGGCTCTGAGTGGATTTGCTCAGCTCCACACCTGTTGGAAGGCTTGTCTTAGTCAGCCCCTGCGGCAAGTCATTCCCTAAGGGGGATTCTTTAGCCGCTTCTGATACAAGGGCCTGCAGCGTGTGGGAGAGTGCTGGTGCTGGCAGAGGGAAGGAATGAGACGGAGGAAGGGTGGAGAGGCCATACCTGAGAGCCATATGTGAGAGCCAGAAGTGTCTCCTTCAAGGGTATGGAGAGGGCAGGGCTCCCCGGCAGAAAGCAAGGAGCAGAACAGTGCCGCCTTCTAAGCAGAGCTCTCAACCTGGAGTTCAGCAGCCTGCTTGTTTTGGGTGGATGCAGGTTCATGTCCTCAGGCAAAGGCCTAGGCCTTGGCTCCTTATAAAGGAAAGTGGGGAGACTTCAAGCTCCTCTCCTGTATTAAGATTCTAGCCCCTCTGTACCTGCACGGGTGGCTTTAGGAGTCTCGTTTATTTATGTATTTTTGTTTCTGTTTTTTGAGACAAGATTTCACTATTAGTTCAGGCTGGGTTTGAACTCACGGGGTAGCACAAGCTAGCCCCAAACTTGTAGTACTCCTCCTGCCTCAGCGCCCCCAATGCTGGGATTACAAGCTTGTGCCACCACACCTGGGGTAGGAGTCTTGTTTAGAAACTGCTTTTTAAATATTCTATTTCTTAGTGGTAACTGAAGATTTACAGAGAGTGGAGAAGAATTTTGACTGGGTGATTTTTTTTTTTTTTTTTCTTTTCATTCTGGGTCCATAGCTATTTAAAAATTTACAGATTGAGCTGAGGAAATGCTGTGGTGTTATGGTAAAGGATAAATTGAGTATTTTTGCGCAAGGCCAGTCTGAATTGCATAGTGAGACCTTGTCTCAAAAAGAGCGGCAGTTAAGGGTAGTTTCAGAGTAGTTGTGTTTGTTTCTACTTTTATTCCTGTTTATACAGCACTGGGGTCAGAATATGTGGTCTTTACATTTCTTATTTTAGAATTTCAGATTTTCCTTTGTGTTCTAAGGTATGCTCAATGTTTGATGCACATCCCATGACCACGTACAAAGAAACAATTGTATAAGGCAGGGGTAGCAAACTATGGTCTATGGACCACATGTGACCCATGTTCTCTTTTTGTGAATCAGGTTTTGTGGGAGCACATAAGGGCTCATTTGCCTGCTTGTATGCTAGAAAGGGGTAGGGTAAAAAGTCTGCTTATTGGGTCCTTGAAGAGCACATGTTTGCTGACCACTGACACAGAGAATCTGAATTATATGTTTTTTGTTTTGTGTTTTGAGACAGGGTCTCAAGGCTGGCCTTGAACTCACTGTGTAGCCCATGCTGGCCTCAAACTCATGGTGATTCTCTTGCCTCAACCTCCCGAGTCCTAGGTTATAGGCATGCACCACTGTACCTGGCTGAATTGTATGATTAATAATAGAGAGCTAAAAAGATATGAAGATAAAGAATATCTCCCTTAGAATATCCATAAAACATTTATAAAAATTTACTGTAATATTCATTTTGTGTATTTCATCTGCCAAGGACTGATAATGAAGTATTTAAAGTCTCCTCTAACTATAGTATTTCTTTTGGTTTCTCCTTCTATACTGACAGTTTTTGTTTTAAATATTTTGGTGCTATATTATTTGGTGCATGAAAGTTAACAACAGTTTTATCTTCAGTATGGACTATTCCTACTCATGAAACAAGCTTTTGTGTCCAAATAATACCATTTTTTGGTCTCGTCTACAACTTTGGTTTTTTTTTTTTTTTTTGTCTTTTTTTGAGACAGGGTCTGGCTATGCAGTTCAGGCTGGCCTTGAGCTCACTTTGTAGCCTAGGCTGGCCTTGAACTCACAATGATCCGCCTGCCTCAGCCTCCCGAGTGCTGGGATTACAGGTGTGGGCCACCACGCCCGGCTTTGTCTACAACTTTGAGTGCTACTGAGATCTCAAATCTTAATCCTTTTATCTTCAGCAAGCTATTTAACTTTGTGCCTGACTCATATTAACTTTGTGCCTGTCTGTCAGACAAACAGTAATAAATATGAGTATTTTTTCTCTTGCATTTATTTTTGTCCTTTATGTTCCAGTTGTTCTCAATTCCTTTGTTTTGCGTGAGGTTCTTATGGATATGATAGTTTAACTTAGTGTTTTCAAAATAAAAGTTACCATTTACATTTATTGCAATTGTAGTTGCTTGCTGTTATCATCTAATTTTAGGCTACATGATCTGCTCTTCCCCATTAGTCAGTGTATATTGTATTTTTAAATCTTCCAGGTAACTAAGTAGATAGTAATGCCATTCTTAGTGCTTAGAAAAATAAGCTTTTAAGGAGAGGTGATAAGCTTAAATTTGGACTTGTTGAATCTAATATAAATGTAGTATCATTAATTTTTTTAATTGCATGATCCTTGAAGAGACTTGGTACATGTACAGAATACTTCACAGCCTCCCCTCCTTTAATTTCATTACTCTCCTCCTCTCCTCTCCCTTCTCTTCTAGGTTCCCTTATATTATGAAATCAGTATTTAAATGAGGGATCTTGGGGAGCTTTCCGATATCAGTAGATGACTTCATTCTCCTATTTGGTGGAAACTTCATGTCTCAGAATTTTAACCATAAGAAGCCGGGCGTGGTGGCGCACGCCTGTAATCCCAGCACTCAGGAGGCTGAGGCAGGAGGATTGTTGTGAGTTCGAGGCCAGCCTGGGTTACAAAGTGAGCTCAAGGTCAGCCTGAACTGCATGGGGAGACCCTGTCTCAAAAAGACCAAAAAAAAAAGTTAATTGTTCCAGGGGATAGAAAAATA